AAAGTTGTTCTAGTATAGTAGAGTTATTTATTGAGCTGACCACCGCAGAAACAGTTCCTGATATACTAAATTTTGTATGATTTATTTTATTATATATAGAATTTAGCCAGCTGAAGGATGCAGAAGTTATTCTAGTATAGTATAAAAATTGATATGCAAATTATGAGTGGACACAACACACAATGTCATTGAGGGTTGTGGGATTTCGTCCCAAAACCCCCACAATGACATTGTGTTTAGTAATCTTGTTTAATTATCACTAATAACTGGTCAACTAGTATTTTATGTGGCTATCTGAAAATTATTCTACTATTATTTTTAAAAGCTTCTCAATATTAGAATAATGACATAAAATTCTATCAACTATTAGAAGAAGTACAAATGGAAAATATCTTTATAAAATTATTGAGCAAGATATAATATTATCATTCAAAATTTTTAACAAATTTCCAATTGATATTTTACTAAATACTACACATATATGTAGTATCTGATCTGATATATATCATTTGATTGGATGATTGGTTGTGTAACTACCTCCTTCCGTGGAAACAAAACCAAAATTTTGCCTTTTTAGTCTTTACATAATATTAATTAATGATGCAGATGTAATTTATAACTTTCTAAACAAATTTCGCGAAAAAATGTCTCGTGGTAATATTGATAAAAGTTTATCTTACAAAAAGAAAGGAAAGCGTGCCGGAGTCGGTGGTGGCGGTTTAGCGACCACAGAGTAAGTTTTTGTTAACTTATCTAATTGTATTAAATTTTATTAATTAGGATAATTCTGTATTAATTTGAAATATAGTGAGCTATGTTATATAAATGAAATTCCTATAGAATTAATTACTCACATTGTTTCTCTACTTGATCCGAAAGAACTAGTAAGATTTATGCATATCCATTTTGATTTATATATTAATTCAATGAAAATTAATTTGATTTCTAATTAATTATAGAGCACAGCGGCTCAAGTATGTAAACATTGGCGATGGATCATCACTGATGATTCATGCTGGAAGAGTGCATTCATTCAATTTTTCGGATGTCTCCCATATAGGTGATTTTTCTTAGCATTTACTTTAGTTTACTCTCTAAAGTAAATGGACACTAATCATTTCACTTCATAGACGATTAGCAAGCGATAGTTGGAAGAATGAATATATTATTCGTACAAAATTACTTAGGTATTATTATTTGCATTCTCATTTAATTATAATATGGGATTTTCTGAGATTCCATTTCTTTTGTTGTAATTAGAAAGTGGGAAATTGGACGAGGAGTAGCTCTAAGTTTTGATCCAAGAGTTGGTGTAATTCATAATCTTTATGTTGAGTCTGTTAATTCTTGGATGTTAGCTGGTTCTTTAGAAAAAGGCATGGTTTCAAGATCTGATCCTAACACAGGAAAGATTAGCAAGGATATTATATTTTCGACACAGGAGCATGTTAGTCATAGCATCTCTGCTATGTTAATAGATAGGTAATAATTAATTAATTTAAATTAGGGTTGAGTTATTTAATTCTAGCATAAAAAGATGATTTCGTATTTAACAAATTTTTTTTTTTTAAAAAAAAAAGGTATAGGATCCTTTGGGGATATAAGTCAGGCGCAGTTGGACTTACTACCTTGAATAAACAGGGTTTAAATCGATTTTTCAAACAATTTCTTGATTTCCATGCAGGACCAGTTTCGGTTTTTGCTTGGTCAAACCAACTCACGAATACTGTTGTGAGTGGTGGTGAAGATGGTTTAGTTAATCTCTGGGATATTAATTCTGGAAGATGCATTGAAAGTCTTCATACAGGTATAAAGATAAACTACTTATATTATTTCCTTAGTAATTTATTTTTGTAATTTTCCGAATTTTTTATTTAGATGAAAGTCATGGTATTGAAAAAAGGATCACCACTTTAGCGTGGAATGTGAAGAATTATATAATAGCAGGAACAGCAAATGGCACAGTTCATATTTGGTCTTTGGATTCCACAATCATATCTTCATCTGATAATTCTCAACGTATCGAAAATATCCCGCATGATAAAATCGTTGGTAAAAGTGGAGTGATTTCATTGCATTATGTTGAATCTTCAAATGCTTTGATCGTAGCGTATGAAGGAATTTCAGAAATAAAGCAATTTGATTTGAAGACATTGAAGTGTATTTGTGTGTTCGAGGATGGTCATCTAGGAAATGTGACATGCACTGTAATTGATATACAGGAAAATAAGGGTAGTTCAAATGATGGTGGAATCAAACCATTAAATATTCTAGCAAGTGGGGATTCTATGGGTGTCGTTTGTTTATGGAAAATTGATGGTGATAAAGATGGAATTCATAAACCTTTTAGGTAGGTATATCAAGTAATGTACCATATAATAATGTGATGAACCTAAACATTTAATTCAATTTTTAGAGTTTTCGAAGGGCGACTTTCGCCTATTACTGCTATTCACTTTGATGCCTTTAAGATAATAACTGGAAGGTTAGATAATTAAGATATTGTTTAAATTTTTTTTTTCTTTTTTTAGTAATCCAAATATTCTTCTTTTATCTAGTTTGGATGGGTCTGTAATCGCATTTGATCCATTGACTTCGAAAGAGATTCGTATACTGTATCAAAGGTATCAATCATTAAAGTCTCATTTTTTTCGTTTTCATTTTTATTTATTTTTTGGGGATATTTTTTTTTTTGCTTGCTAGGTCTCGAAGAACAACTAATAGGACCGTGCAAGCACAGGATGGTACCTTGGCTGTAACTTGTATTTATTCGAAAGACTATCGAACTGTAGCGACCATTGGAGGCCAGATAAAGACTTGGGATTTTTCATCTGGCATTGTTAAAGGTAAAACATAAATCTTTTAGAAAATGATTTTCTATGTGTATAGTTATATTTATTAAATTTTGTAGGAAATAAAGCTAAAACTTCAAAGAAAAAAAACACTTCCGTATCAACACCTAAATATATGAGTAAGTTTCATTAGAATTACCGCATTTAATTTATCAAAACATTTATGATAATAACGATAACAAACGTTTCTTTAGAATTAAAGGATGACGTAAGAGAATCGGCACAAATATTTGAGTTAGAAAAGCAAGAATATGAGGAACATCTTGCAAAAATGCAAGAATATACACCAATTTCTGGATTAACAAATGAAGAAATGTTAGCATATGCTTTAATGATTTCTAAAGAAGAAAATCAAACCGAAGATGATCAAATTGCTGAAGCTTTAAGAAGGTCGCTGGAAATTCAGGAGAAACATGAGAGATAGAAATAAAAATTTTGTGTTTGATTGATGCCTAAACATATAAAAGATTTATATTTTAATAATCGTTATTATCAGTTATGTACTTAATGTAATGGATTAACTTTATTTAATAAATTTGATTTCTGAAATTTCACGTTATGAGTTTGAGGCAGATGATCGGCGATCATGCCAATTCTATGTAGAGTAAAATAAATCTATTAGAGTAGCTAATTGAAGAAAAAGAGATACGTTGTAAATAATAAAACTTGATTTTTATAAGTTTGCGGGAAAAATCATTTTTTGTAGGCTTAACGAAAAAGAATTTTCATTAAGCTACAAAAAAAAATTTTTTTTGGTTATTTAAATTGATTAATATTTCTTTTTCTAAAAGATTCATATGATAAAAAAAAATTTATTAATTCATATATAAAATAAAGAAAAAATTTTTTATTATTAATTAAAATCAGTAAAATAATAGAAATTTGAAACTATATTAATAGTATCCATTCTGTTTTAATTATCAATTAGTTATCAATCAGTTTTTATTAGATTATTCAATATTATTTAATTAGAATTTATGTTTATATAGTTCTGTTGTAGTCCAAACGTCACCATATCCCAAGTTGAACTTGGGATATCCCAAATCAAAATTCCTATTTTGGACTTCCTAAACTGGAATTTTGATTTTGGATGATCATGTCCCAAATTGAATCTGGGATATGGTTAAGTTTGGGACATTTAATACCCCAAACCTGACCATATTCCAAATCAATTTAGAACATGATCGAGTTTGGGACATACAAATCAAACCAGAACATGTTTCAAATCTATCTAGATCAATTTGAGATATGGTCAAGTTTGGGACATTTGATTCTCCAAACCTGATCATGTTTCAAATCTGAGATATGATCAAGTTTGGGACATTCGATTCTTCAAATCTGACCATGTTCCAAATCTACCTAGGTCATTTTGGGATACGCTTGTGTTTGATATAATATGTTTCAAACTTGACCATAAACTAAATTAACTGGGTTAGTTTGAAACACAGTCAAGTTTGGGGTATCAAATACCCAAACTTGACTATATCCCAGATCTGATTTGGGATATTTCAAGTTGAATTTGAAACATAATCAAGTTTGAAACATAATCATCCCAAATTAGAAATTGCAGTTTAAGAAGTCTGAAATATGAATTCTGATTTGGAATATCCCAAGTTTAACTTGAGATATGGCGATGTTTGTTTGGGTTACAACAGTTCTATTTGAAACTAAATTTACCAAATGATTTATATTTATAATATTGATAAATTAACCAATTGTTTCAAATTTATAAAATTAATAAAATACAAATAATAAATTTATTAATTATTAATTACAGATTAATTGTTTATTAATAGATATGCCTATTATATATTTTTTTAGTTTTTATATATATTTATTATAAATTTACTTAGATAAATTAACTATAAATATTATGAACTAAAATTATACATAAAACTAAAATTAATCTATTTCAGATATTCAAAATAATCAAAATACATCAAAATAGGCAAAATATTTTGACTTTAGAAAAATAATATAATATTATATGATTTTATATATTATTATATTAGGTAGACTAAAATACTTAATCGGTTAAGTAATAACATGTAAAAGAGACTTACTTTAAAAAATTAAAGAAATTTACTATACTTGGTATTCTAGCCTCATAATTAAGTATTTAAGTTAAAGAAGTATAAATACTTTTCTAACTTTACTAATTTTAGAGTATTGATAAATATTATAAAAACAACTATAAGTGTGTTACAAAATTACATAAAAAGTATGTATCTAAGACAACTAATAATATTGTAACTAAAACAATTAATAAAAATGCTATAAAGACAATTAATAAATATGTCATAAAACTATTAGTAAGAATATCACTAAAACGAATAATAAAAGTATTATAAAAATGATTAATAAATTATTAAGGAACGGAATCAGTTCAAAGTCTGAACATGATATATAAATTATAATATCATATTTTACATGATTAATTATTTTGTAACACAAAAGACATAATACGTGATAATGTAAACAAAATATTATTAGTCTATTTATTAGGCTTACCAAATTTAGACAGACAAAATGGCTTTGCATTTAAATGATCTAGAAGTAAAATGTCCTTCGTTATGCTTCAGACAATTATATGCTTTGTAATAGATAATCATAAAGATAAAAATTAGTTCTAATAAATCCTTTTATTATATTTTTATATATTAATAAAAGACTAAAGATACACAATTAAAATCTTTTGTTATTTATAATATAATTTTCTATGCTAAGTTACTAATCTATTACATAAAATTTACATAATAATTCTATCATTTTATTGCTTCCTCTTGAGATTTTCTTTTGGAATCTCTAATTTTTAGTTTAATCACACATTTCATCATAGATTAAATTATTACTTTATTTTTTTTCTTTTAACTTAGCTTTAGTAAATTTAATTTTTCAGATTATTATTATGTTATTACTAAAATATATTTACAAATTCAAAGACATTTTATATTAATAATTCTTAGCAAAAAAATATGTAATTGCAAAGTTTTCTTAATAAAAATGTTTTTAAAGTTGTAAATAAATTATTTATTAGGTATTTCTTAATAAAAAATATTTTTTAAAATTGTAAAGTCATTTTTTACTAAAGCTTTCTTAGTTACAGAGAATGATCTTGATTATCTGAATGCTAATTTTGATCTTCTAACTTATTAATTATAATTAAACCAAATTTTAATATATATTAGATATAATCTCAAACTACAATATATTCAAATTTTAGATATTTGAATTAGTGTTTTGCAAAAAATCTGATTCAATTTGAATCTGATCTGTATCTGACGGATCAGATCAAATCAGATTTATTGGATTCGAATCAGATTTAGATCTGGATTTTGATTTGATTGGATCTATCGGATCTGGATCAGATTTGAATTTGAATTTGATTCAATCTGACAGATTCAGATTTGGATTCAGATCTGATTTGTTGAGTTTGAAATAAAAAATGCCGTCCTAAAGTCAGACGCAGCATTTATTATTAAAAAATTCAATTTTTAATAATAAAATGCCGCCCGAAAGTTGGACATGGCATTTATTATTAAAAAATTTAGATTTTAATGATAAAATGCAGCCCGAAAGTCAGACACAGCATTTATTATTAAAAAATTAATTTTTATTAATTTTTAATAACAAAATGCTGTCCCAAAAGTCAGAGGCGACATTTATTAATAAAAAATTAATTTTTATTAATTTTTAATAACAAAATGCCATCCCAAAAGTCAAAGGCAGCATTTATTAATAAAAAAATTAATTTTTAATAATTTGTTATATTAAAATGCCATCCCAAAAATCAGACGTAGCATTTATTATTAAAAAATTAATTTTTAATAATTTTTAATATTAAAATGTCATCCTGAAAGTTGAAGGCGGCATCTATTAATAAAAAAATTAATTTTTATTAATTTTTTATATTAAAATACCACCCGAAAATCAGAGTAGCATTTATTATTAAAAAATTAATTTTTAATAATTTTAATATTAAAATGTTGCCCGAAAGTCAGAGGTGGCATTTATTAATAAAAATTTAATTTTTTATTAATTTTATAACAAAATGCCGTCCTGAAAGTCGAAGGTAGCATTTATTATTAAAAAATTTTATTTTAATAATAAAATGCTGCCTGAAAGTTAGACACAACATTTATTATTAAAAAAATTTAATTTTTATAATAAAATGCCGCCTGAAAATCGGACATGGCATTTATTATTAAAAAATTAATTTTTATTAATTTTCAATAACAAAATGCTGTTCCGAAAGTCAGAGGTGACATTTATTATTAAAAAAATTTTATTTTTAATAATAAAATGCTGCCCAAAAGTTAGACATGACATTTATTATTAAAAATTAATTTTTATTAATTTTCAATAACAAAATGTCGTTCTGAAAGTTAGAGGTGGCATTTATTATTAAAATATTTTATTTTTAATAATAAAATGTTGCCTGAAAGTCAGACATGGCATTTATTATTAAAAAATTAATTTTTATTAATTTTTAATAACAAAATGTCATTCTAAAAGTCAGAGGCGGCATTTATTAATAAAAAAATTAATTTTTATTAATTTTCAATAACAAAATGCCGCCCCAAAAGTCAGACGTGGTATTTATTATTAAAAAATTAATTTTTAATAATAAAATACTGATCCGAACATCGGAGGCAGATTTTTGTTAAAAAAAACAAAATTGTTATTTTTTTAACATTAAAATGCTGTTACGAATATCGGAGACAGATTTTTATTAAAAAACAACAAAATTATTGTTTTTTAACATTAAAATGTCATTCTGAACAGTGGAGGCAGATTTTTGTTAAAAAATTTTTTGATCTGTCAAATACAGATACAGATTCAGATTTGTTAGATTCGAATCGAATCAGATTCAGATTTTTCAGATTTGGATCAAATTGTATTTTGCCTAAATCTGATCTGATCCGATTCATGCAAAACATTAATTTGAATCATTAGATATTGAGATATTAATGTAAATGTTAAAATATAAATTATTTTAAACACAGATATTAGTTAAAGTTTTTAAATAATGTTATATTAATTTTAATAATATCTAATATTCAAATTAAATAAAATTTTAATAAATAATAAATAAATATTATATTTATAATATATTATAATTTGAACTAATTTTGATTACTATATATTAAGATTTTGACATTTATCTGATATAAACAATATATTAAAAGACAAATTAAAAAACAAATTTTTTATAATAGTAAAAAATTTGGTATATTTTATTTGGTTCTCTGAGAATTTTTATAATATAAATGAAATCCTAAATGTCTTCCACAATAAATATGGAATTAATGCATATTGATATTTGTACAATCTAATAAAGAAAATACTTTTACATATAAAAAACTGACGTAAACTTTTATTATTATTTTGACACTGAATACAAGCGAATATGATTATTTTTACTAATAATTTTAGATCATAAATGAAATACAGCATATAGCTACATAAGAAATCGCTAAAGAGTTTAGTCTTTATCAGAGATAAATGCTATGTCTTGATATTTTTCAACCAACCGATTATGACTAAGTGAAGTCTGATTCAATTAGTAAACTGTTTTTGAGAATATTAAATTTGCCATTCACAAGCTTAGCTGTATGCTAATCATCAAACATTGTATCCAGATATATTTCTATTTGATTTCTTAGATTATTACCATCATTATGATACCGTTCAAAGACCTTCAAAATATTTGTGAATTCTTGGTTATATTTGTCAAAAAGGCTGACAGATACTTGGATAAATATGTACTGTATTTGCCCAAAATAAGCAATCTTTTTTATTATAAAGTTGCTTATTTTTGGGTACAAATTTTTTTTTTCAAAATCTACAGTTTATTTTTATTAAACTACACTAAATCTTTATCTAATGATCATCTGGGTTAGTACGTACAAAAATCAGGTTTTGATCATATGATTATATAGTCCTGCAGCATGATTTTTGTACGTACTAACCCATCTGATCTATTGTATAAACGTTATACAAGATGATAATTATCTTCTCATTAAACCTGCATAATTTTCATGCTATTTTCATAAGGACAGATAATGTCACAAAAAGCTGTTAAACATAAGAAGGTTAAACAAACTTCTTATTCTATTAAAACGAAAAGAGAAGTTGTTAATTATGCAAAAAACATGATAAAACTGTAACAGTAAATCACTTTAACCTTAATGTCAGCATGGTTGGACGTTAGGTTAAAGCAAGTATAAATTGAATAACTGGGACAAGCGATAAAAGAAAGAAAATTAGTTTTGGTTGAAAAGCCCTATATCCTGAAGCTAAAAAAGTATTATACAACTGGATTATAGAGCAATGAAAGAAAGGACTGGCTGTGACTTATTTAACTATACAAAATAAAATGAAAGAAATTTTGAGAGAGCTAAGTATAATAGCATTTTATGATTCAATAGATGATTTTAAAACATCACTTAAATGGTTACGCTTATTTTGAAAAGATATGAATTAGTTTTGCACCGACGCACAAAAATATTGCAGAAACTCCCTAAACAAACTGAAGAATTATTAGAGAGTTTTAATAAATTTGTCAACAATCTCAGAATGGAAAAGTCTTTTGAAATGCGTGATATTTTAACATGAACGAAACGCCTATTTGGTTCGATATGGCAGGAAACTTTACAGTTAATCAAAAGGGTGAAAGGACAGTACATATATATGTAACAGGAAATGAAAAAAATCGTTTTACAGTTGTTCTTATATGTGCTGCTGGTAAGGTTTTAAAGTTGTTTCGCTCAGTTTAGAATTTTTCATAGATTTTAGCATTAGTAGCATAAATTTAAATTTTAAATTCAGATAATTAGATTCAGAATATGTTAGATCAAATAAAAAGTTAATTAATCCTATTAAAATTTAATTTATTTAATAAGATAGAACTAAGCTTCCTCTGATTTGCATATTCAAGGGAAAGAGATTAGTACAAGTTGAAAAAGAAAATATTCTATCTGGTGTGATCATTTGGTTTCAAAAAAGTGGATGGATGGACGCTAATTTAATGAAGGAGTATGTTGATTACTTCAATGAAAATAGATCTGGAGATCTAGCAATGTTAGTATACGACTCATTCAAAGGATATTTAGAAACATCAGTTAAAAATAAATTTTGCGAAAGTGATGTTTATTTAGCAGTAATTTCTGGAGGACTTACAAGTATTTGCCAGCCCCTAAATGTTGCGATTAATAAGCCATTTAAGGACAACCTCCGCCAAAAGTGGCATCTATGGATGGCAAATGACGGTGCTAGAACAACTGCTAAAGAAAATCTTCAGCGTACTAAAATTAGTGATGTTTGTAGTTGGATCAAGCAATCATGGGATAAAATTTCTAATGAGATCATAATTGAATCTTTTAAAAAATGTGGTATAACAGATTCATTGGCAAACTCTGATGATAATACAGAGATTAATGAAGAATCAGAGACTGAAAATCGGAAATTGATGAAGAATTAGAAACTGAAGAATTGGAAATTGAAAAATAGGAAATTGATATTAATATTGAATCAGATAGTGATTATTAGTTAAGATAATACTTTTAATGCTTTTAATGACAAAATGCTAGTATATTTCCTTCATTGAACATTATTTCGATTATAATTATGTTTATTAATATGTCTATTAAACATTTTATAAAGAATTTTAATAAATTTTACGAATTTGCTTATTTTTAGGTACTTCATAAATATGATGTTGCTTATTTTTGGTACTTGCTTATTTTTGGGCAAATACAGTATCCAATTATAAAATCGAACTGAGGATACTACAAATTAAGAACTTTAAATATTGTGGACTAGGAGCTTATCAAGAATGATAAAATGCTCAAATTATATATACATATCTCTTATAAGTTTTCATTCAGGTCTGTCACCTTGAATAAGATATTACAATGTTTTAACATCTGTTAAAAGAGTATTTTCTCGAAATTATTTGGATTAAGTTATCCGTTACTAAGAGACGTCATACTCATATCTCTGGATAATTAAAAATCCTGGTACATATCTAAGAGAGCATCAAGTGCAAGCTGAGTATATTTAAATAATATGAAATCATATACATTTTTGAAACAATACACTAATCCAGTGTCTAGAAATTTCCAGTCAAATCTTACATTCTGTTCAACATATGATGATTTTAAAAACATAGCTGAAAGGTTTTACAGTAATCTATTTTTTTTACTAATATCAAGTATTTCAAAATGATTTCTTGCAATGTTTACAAGTTCACTATATCAATCTTTACGGAAGCACTTTAGAAGTTCATCAATTTCACTATTGAGAATGCTGCTTATATGCATTATATGTTTATCAAGATAGATGAGCTCATGTGAAATGCAATTAGTGACTTCCTTCACTTTTGGTGCAATTTTTTCATTTCCCAAAATGGGTAAAGTTTCAACAGATCATCAAAAATATCTTCTGATAACGGTCCAACAAATTTAACCTAATAATTCATATCATTTATTAAGTATTTTTACTCAAATTTTGCGTGTATCATACCAGTCAAGACCATACAAGTTTCTAGACTATCCTCACTTCAATATGTGAGTTTAAATAGTACTACTCCATGTTTATCAATTGCTACAAGTGTTTTGCGATATTTTTGCTTGAGAATTTTCCATATGGCCTCAGCAAATGCATTACAGAATCTTTTCTATTTTCTTTACAGATTTTTGAGTTCAGCAGCAGTTAATATGTATTTATTTATTGCCAAAAAATACCTAACAATCACCGCTGATGTCTGCTCGTCTGAATATAAGTCAAGTTTAGCTGCATCTGCAACATAAAGCATTAATCATTTTTCAGAAAATGCTTTAACCACAAGAAACATTGTAAGATACGATTTTCCCACCCTGAAAACTCATTTTATTGAATTTTGTTGGTTTTCAGAGAATTTTTTCCACATCTCAAATCATCTGTCTTGTAATAAAAAATTTTTTTCCTTGATAACCTTATGCGAAATGTTTTTGTTTCTGCCTAAGTTTTGGCATTTCGATGGAATCACTAGCTTTAAGGTTCTGTAAGGTGTTTATGAACTTGGCACTGACTTGGGTACGAATTCACTATTGCAAAGCATATTATAGATTTGTGGTGGTAACTTCACAGAATTGCCATCAGAAGCGATATATGTATTCCATCTCTTTTTGGCGTATCTTTGTAGAAGTTTCTACAAATTACAATATGATGGAATCAAAAAGAAAGGCAGATGTTTATCAAAGGGTTCATGTTGACCAATCATTACGATGCAAAAGCTTACCATCTCCTTTTCCATTGATTTATTAATAAGATTTGCAATTATTGAAGCAGTTTCAGCAGTAAGTTTGTAAGAAGTTTTTGTTCGGTTAATAAAAGAAATGCTGGATAAGATCATGAGAGTTGTAATGTGTTTTGCGTCAATCATGAGTTTTATTTTGTAAAAATTTGATGAAGGTATCCTTATTCCATCCGCTTACTTCATCAGGAGAAGGATAAAATTAGAAGTATTCATATTGTTATACGTTTTTTTTAAAAAAAATAAGGAAAAAAAATAAAGCAAAGTTTCTCTTATACGAATTTAAATTAATGTGATTTCTCTTATCAAACTTTCAAACAAACTTTTATTAAGACTAAGATGCATACTAGTTAACGTATTGCAGATATAATATATAGATGTACAAAGTTAAAGTGGATATATTACTATTCTTGATCTTTTAACATAGAGAAAAATCACATGACTGTAATTTCAGATATTGGTAAGACTATATTATATCTAGTGTAGTTTGCGAGAAGTCAGCGCAGTATATCAAAGGTAAAAGTGATAAAAATATTGAAACATCTTTATTATAATGCCTTAAGCAATATCTTTCTTAAATATTTAAGCGGAATGGATGATATGAAAACGAAAATACTGATAAAGGTAAAAATAAATCGGAAGTATTGTTTTACCTCTGCAATAGATGAATTACATATCGGAATATGTTGGTGGGATCGATTAAAATCAAACCTTTCATATTATTTATTTTATATAGATAAATTAATTATGGTAGATATGCGCATATATAGTAATGTTAGGTAGTATGGAATAGCGGGAAGGAATTCTCATTTTATGGGTTAGGGCTCAAGTAATTCCTCCTTTATTATATAATCAAAATAATAAATTTTCCGCTTGAGCAATTTTTGATGGTTTGTTTATTAAGTCATTGGTATACTTTTTATAATGACAATCAAGAAATTAATACTTATCACATTTCATGCATAATGCATATTACTTTATGTTTTGAATCCATTGAGGAATATTCTCTGCTTTCTTAAATTCATCTAAATAGTTTTGTTTTTTATATGTTCTAAAACTTTCCTCCGGCACTACAAAATATAAGCAAATTTCATTCCTATGATCCAAGATATTTTTATACTAATCCTTTAATTTTTCTTGCTTGGCTCCATATCTATCAGAGATAGTGATTTGCAATAGTTAATTAGGATGAATGTAACTATCTATACTTTGATAATTTTTGGCAACTGGCTGATAATAAATTTTTTCTTTAATGTCAGCATCCTTGATATTAGTAAATTTCTCTTTTACTAAATTTTCAAATGTCACAGTTTCTTCATTAGATTGCTGAAGTTCACGTACTTGAAATATCCCTCCTTTACAGATCTTTGCATGTGAACACATTTCAAACATCTTTTCACGAAGAACTGACATCTCTGCTATATTCTTTAAATTCTCAATAAAGCGCGTAAATCTTCAATGTGATTTTTTTGAAATCTCCATAAGCATTCATTTTTCACAAATTTAGATGCAAAAACACATTTGGCTTTTGTATATGAAATGCTTGTTCCACTTTCATTATCAGATTTGATATGAATCAATTTATAGGAGAATTCATCTCCTGAGATGAGTTCACCCTGAAATCTGAGCATATTTTTTAAATGATAGTCTGAAATTACGCTTCTGATAGTGTTTTCAATTTTCGTTAATATCATCGCGTTATCAAATATCCTTCTCGCAATTCCTTCACACAATTCAAACTTTTTTCAATTAAATTATGATCAACTTCTTTATATAGATTCTCTTGACATTCATAAAGCTCATTAATATTCCAAGTCAGCATATAGAACTTTTCGCTCTTTTGTGCTTTGGTAAATCTCTCAATGATTTTCTTCTTAGGTAAGGTCACCATAATAAATTTTCCAATCAAATCATGATTAAATTTGGACATTATACTATTCACGATACACCACACATCCTTTTGTCCTGCAACTTGTCTATATATTATACGATCTTTATCATTTATCTTAAGTAGACTACCATTAGGTTCAATCCATGCTGTGAATCCTTCATAATCAATCAAAACTGATTTTTTTTGTTTGAGAAGCTCTACTAACATTAGTCTCCCGAAGTATGACTTGCCAATTTTTGGATTTCCAGTGATGCAGTATCAATTAAATATTTTATCATTGAGTATAAAGTCACGCAAATAAACATAACAACTTTGATTATAGATAACTGTATCTGTATCATCTCCAGACAATGCCGGCACTGTGAATAGTTTATCATTTGTGTTTGGTAAGTTGTTGATTAAATTTAGAATCAACTTCTTATCTAAAGGAAATGCAAGTCAAGTTAGGATTTTTTTATTCTTCAATAAGTTAATATTAAAAGAAATATCTTTTTGCAATAGTTTCTTCTTTATGAGGTTCCAATTTTCTTCGTCCGAATCTTCTAGTTTTCTTTTCTCTAATCAAATATATAAAAAATGAGATATAAAATAACGCAAATTCTTGTTCGAGAGGTAAACCATTGGGAGATACTTACCAGTGGTAGGCTTGGGTGATTCTACGATGATGTGGATATGATTATCAGCAGGAACATTTTCAATCTTACTACTAATAGAATCTTCTGCGTCCAATAGTTCACCCATGAGTTCCTCTTTAACGTTAATAGATTCATGAGACTTGTTGATAAGTATTTTCATCTTTTCGTCATTCATGTCTTTGGTAGAAATAGCTACTTTCCATAACTTTATTTGATGTGCAGGAACGCTCAAAGATGTCTTCTCTTTAATACCATCCTGGAGATGCGAAATCTTCATAGAAGTCCACATTTCGATGGAGATATTAAATATAAATCTATCTGTAACTTCCTCGCCTAAAATAAGACAAAGTATCATGATGTAGATATACCTGCAATCACGAAAACTGAGAGTTTAAAATAAGATTCAAAAATATAAATTAGCTTTCAGTAAAATAGATAAAGACCTTTTTGGATACGTTAGATCAGAAGATAGATGAAATTCCTCGATTTTCGTTTGTTCCTAGGATGTATGTGCCATTATTATTGGCAATGATATTATATATTTAGTACTTATGGAAAAGAATATGTTAAAGAAATCAAAGCTGATAAAAAAAAATTATATTTTTCTTAGATCATATTTTGTGTGAAAATAGAAATTTTTTTTTTAAAAAAAAAAAACTTTAGTTATTAAACAAAATATAAAGGTATTGATAATTATAAAAAACATTGTATAAATCGTGATCTTTCAAATTAATATTAAAAATTATCATAATATGCATTTTTATAAAGTACGCATTATATTTGAATTATAATTATTATGATTAAAACATATGGGAGCTGATCTATTAAAAGTGGGTTATGAGACATAGTAAATCATATGATTTGTATCTCAATTTTACTAGAATACTACCCATATTATATATTAAATAATTAGATTGTATTTCTAATAAATACATTAAATTCTCATATTTTCAATAGTTCTAAACTTAATCTTATAAGAAAGATACAGGATAAAATCAATTTAAGTAAAAGATCTGATTATAAAATAGCAAAAGAAGTTAAAATAAAATTATTAATAGTGCAAATAATAAAGAAATACTAAAAGAAGTTTTCTAGGATAGCAATGGTAAGAATAAGATCTATAATTCTAAGAATGACTATGAGAACAGAATCTATGATTCTGATGAAAATAAGATATATGATTTAAGTTTGGTGCTAGTATTAATAACAATCTAAATTCTATCATCTAAAATAATGATAGCTAGAATTCTGAATGAGTCAAGCCAACTTTCAAGTCAAATGAGTTGAGTTGAGTTGAGTCAAGTCAAAAAAATTTGACTCATTTAACTTAAGTTGAGTTTCAAGTTAAAGCTTGACTTGACTTAAGATAATTTAAGCTAAACTTAAACCTAAAGTTGAGCAAAACTCAAGTATAAAATCGAGCCCAAAGTCAAGCAAAACTCAAGTCCAAAGTCAAGCTAAACTTGAGTGAAAATTCAACAAATTTTTTTAAAGACAATATAAAAAAAATCATTTAGATAGAATGATATACATAGTTCTAAAAGAACTATAAAAGTTTCATTTTGATAGAATGATAAATCATCATTCTATATGAATGATAAAAAAAATTATCCAATAGAACTATAGTATATCATTCTTAAGGAATGATAGAAGAACTATTCTAATAGAATGATAATATATTATTCTAAAGAAACGATAGAGAGAATCGTTTTGATAAAATAATAATGTATTGTTTTAAAGAAACAATAAAAAGAATCATTATTAAGAAATGATTTTATTATCATTCCAAAAATACAATTTATTGTCATTCTTAAGAAATGATTTTATTATTGTTCTAAAAAGAATAATTTATTATTATTTCACAAAATGATAGAAAGAATCATTCTGATAGAATAATAATGCATCATTCTTAAGAAATAATTTTATTATCATTTCAAAAAGAACAATTATTCATTTATCATTTTATTGAAATGATTCTTTGTTGTTTCTTTAGAATAATGCTTTATTGTTCTATCAGAATGATATTTTTTATTGTTTTGATAAAATAATGTTTTATCATTCTATCAGAATGATTCTTCTATTGTTCTTTTAAAACAATTTACTTTATTCTATCAGAATAAATTTATTTATCATTCTATTAGAATAATTCTTTCTATCGTTCTTTTAAAATGAAGTTTTATCATTCTATTAGAATAATTCTTTCTATTGTTCCTTTAGAATGATGCATTATTATTCTATCAGAATGATTTTATTTATCATTCCTTTAGAATAATTCATTTTATTATTCTATCAGAATAATTCATTTATCATTCCTTTAGAACAATGAATAACTTGAGTTGAGTTGAGTTGAAGTTTAAAAATTTTTTGACTTAACATAACTCAATTCAATTTTTGAGTCAAGTTGAGTTTGACAAAAACTCGCTCAACCTGACTCATTTGAAACTCTAATGGCAGCTTCTATCTAAAAATAATAAATAAAATTAAAGTTTTAAAAAAGTAAAAAATATATTTCTTCTTATTATTATTAAATAAATAATCACCAATATACAGCTAAAATTTATCACCTAATTCTGCATAAAATAATTGATTATGCAGAATTGGGTTGTTGGTTAATTAGTCATGAGGATTCTCTCTAAACTCTAATCTTTTAAGATTTTTATATCTGTACTTTAATGAATACTATTTTCTTTGACATTGGATGGAAATTGTGATAAACCCTTCATTATTATTATTATTAAACAATTTTTTGAATATAATTTTCTATATCCTTTCATATCAATTTTGGGAAATGAACTCAAATTTATCATGATGATTACATCAAATTTGGATTAATTATAAAGTAGCATGTTAAGTCTATTTGAATGTAGAAGAAGAAGCAGTAGCAGGTATTAAAGCCATTATAATAATTCAAAAAAATAAAAAATGGTGAAAAAGAATAAAAAATAAAATATAAAAAACAAAAAAAAAATAATCAAAAAATAAAAAAATAATGAAATATAAAAAAAAATGAATTAAAAGGTATTAAGAAAAATGACGTAGAATAAAAATGATAGATAAAAAAAGAAAATAATGAATTAAAAGGTGATTTAAAAAAATAAAATATGATAGATAAAAAAAGAAAAAAATGAATTTAAAGGTGATTGAGAAAAATAATATGAAAAAGAAAAACAAATTAAAAAAAGCAACATGAAATAAAAAAATATAAAATATAAAAAGAAAAATAAAGGAAGACAAATTTAAAAGACAAATTAAAAAAAATGAAAAATAAATTAAAAAAGACAAATTAAAAATATATTATAAAAGATGAAGATAAATTATAAAAGATAAATTAAAATATGAAAGATGAATTTAAAAAGGTGAAATCCAAATTAGAAAAGCGTAAAAGGTAAATTAAAAAAAAATTGAAGGAGACAAAATTATAAATAGAAAAGATTTATTACATTCGTGAATGAATTTATTTTTCTTTATTAATAATATATTGTAAAAACAAAGGATATCATTTTACCACTGTACCACACGGCTAATACCTAACTGGCAAACTCCCCAACAAAAAAAAGACCTTTTATAACTTAGTGTACAACTGCAAAAGATATTTTTATAGCAATGATATTTATTTTATTGGATAGATTTGAATAATACAACAACAATAAAGACAAATTCGACGATAAAAATAAAAGGTTAGGGAGCGCAAAACATGAGCGTTTTTAGTAAATTTATTTCAAAGAGGACAACTTTTTTAATAATAACTTTATTAAGTAATAATGAATGTCCAATTTCGCGTTTAGTAAGAACTGCATAATATTAAAATTTTTCACTGAAAGAATTGACGTACTTGACATCGAAAATTGTTCTGTAATCTAAATCTAAATTTTGTAATAATATAATATTTGGATTAAAGGCATAGAAAAGACATTTAGAATGGGTGAATAAATACATTTTTTAAATAAATTCCATATGGTTTTATCATTTTGAGATGGGAAAATAAAAGTGTTATGAACCCGCAATAAGAAATTAAGAAATTTGCACAAGGTATGAGTTTTTATCATCACCACGATCCATTCCTTTTTAAAGAAAACAGTTACTATAAAATCATTACTTTATATTTTTTTTATAACAATTAATTTTTTACCTTACCAAGTTGATATTTTGGAATTTTAATAGCAAGAAAAAATTTTTTCTTTATTTATTTTATTGAATGAAGATCACAATTCTATAAATAAACAGTGTTGCGTAGTTCTCACATGAACAACCCTATGTTGGTGCAACAATAACAGGGAGCGACGGCGATAACCTATCAAACTTGACGTAATACGTGATATATCGTTTGTTTTGTTTTTTTTCTTTTTTATTTGTCTTTTAACGTCTTCAATACATGTACTAGGAAAGTATAATTTTAACTTTGTAGGTGAAAGTTTTGAAAAATGGAAAATTATCAACAAAAAATCGATGAACTTTTAAGAAAAGCCAAAGCTCAAGGTATATTTATGAAACTTGGATCGTTAAACAAATAATCAGGATTTAACATTAATTTTCTATTTAATGTAGGCGCTGCGAGAGCTGCAAAAGCCAATAAACCTTTTATTACTAATATTGTAGTTGCAGAAAAACCCAAAGAGGATCTAAAATCTTTAAAAGATATTTGGAGGGGTATGGACGCCATGGGTGAGCGTTGAATATGATTAATGAATGGTGAATATTTTGATCATGTTTCTCACCAAAATATACCACTATATTAGATTCAAGGAATACCACACCAGCAAATAGATTTCGCAAGGCAGGAAAGTCAACTAAAGGTAAAAAACCAACAAAGTCGAGTACTCGTAATAAAAAGAATCGAACAAATTGGCAACCATATCATCACTCTAACATGGTAATTATATTTGAAAAACTTGATTTGACGATTCAAAAAAAAATGTATTACTAAGTTTTAATTAATATATAGGAAAACTTCCCGGTACAGTCACCAACTTTTTCTGAAAGATCCAGTATTATCACGGATGAAGACGGCGACGTATTGATGATGTCAGCTGCATCCACTCCAAAAGAAATAACTCCTCCAAACAGAAACATTCTAAACGGTTATTTTCCAAAGGGCAAACGTAAACCAAGGTCAACCGAATTTATTTCCGGCGATAAGTTGAATGATGCATCACCTGATACTTTGCGAATTCTTAAAGCACTTCAATCCAATGATTCCAATGGAGAACTTGACTTGGATAAAGGATACGAGTTGGAAAACGTAAGTAATGATTAATATTTTCCCCTTGAGTTGTTTCATCTGTTAATAACACATGATTACATAAATTACAGCCATTCATCTAAAACAATTTGATGAAACAAATGTCAGTGTGATGGGTAGAATTCAAATCCTCACTAAGATCTGAGAAATAACTGATGGGGTGTTTTTTATGTAATTATTTAATTCCCAATTTTAAATATTTAAAATGATATTAGCAGGGGAGTGATGATTTTTTAAAATCATCCTTTCCTAAAAAGGAAATATGTCACGTTTTAAAGTGTAAATTTATATATATCTATATATATCTATATAAAGTTTTATTGAAAGTCAAGCGAATATTTGAAAATCAAATCCTTTGCGTCCCTTAAAAAACGGAGTATTGCACTTTTGATCTTATGAAAAACAAAGTAACTCTGATGTTACAGCGACTGTAGATATATATTGACATCTATAAGAAAATGATTTTGTAATGTTTGTAGTACAAGGATGACATTTTTTATGTTTACATGCACGCAATGAATGAAATAACAGGATTTTCTTCTTGTTAAATTTTTAATTTTAGGAAAAATTGTCAAAATTTTGTAGATTTTTTTTTATTCTTTTAAAGTTAAAAGGGATTGTTCTTCCGCAGAGAAAAAATTCATTGGCCAGATGAAATAGATCAGAAATAAAATCCAATAGTTGTACGAATATGCATGCGCGCATAGACTCATACTGACTTTAAATTACGTTCTCATTTATGTTACAACGAAACCTAGATGAGATATTTTGATGATGGGATAACGGAAAAAAATTAGATCTTAAAAGATAAGTAGAAACATACATCAACATCAATATAACAAAGAATAAAATAAATAAGATTTGTGTTACCACACATTATTAATTTAAATAATTATAATAAGAAATATTCGTACAGTACAACATACCGAATGTATAAAAAATATATAAACGACGGTTTTACTTAAAAGTTTATAATTTTTCATTATTTTTACAATTAATTTTTATTATATACCACGCGTTCTCGAACATTTAAATTTATTCACATTTGACACTTTTAGAAGTTTTTTTTTATTATTTAATTTTCAAAAAATTCTTTTAACCATGAAAAATATACTAAATCCAAACGAAGGAACTGTTTCTTTGTTAAACAACGACGATATAACAAGAACAAATAGATACGGAACGTTTGATGAACAATCTTCAATTATATCTGAGTTACAAAAAAACTCACAACAGAATATCTTAAGTGCATCCCATAACAAACTTGAATGTGGTCAAAGTTGCTTTATTAATCCCATAGCTGGTTGTGCGAAACTTTGCGGATCCATACCTTCTCCAACAACTTTAGTCGTTAAAAACAACGGGTCCACCGCTCGTGACAATTTCTGTAAGTAATGGTGATTTTTAAAAATTTATCGTTTGTCACCTTTTCTAATCTGTACGCTTCCCATTTTGTAGCAATAGAAAGAACATTTTTGTCATGGCTGCGAATATCAACGGGTCTGGTGTTGCTTGGTATGTCTTTTTTCTTACGTTTTGATACATTTTCACAACCTTCTGTCAATGAAGACCATTATTCAAAACCACTCGGCATTTTCCTCATCGGATTGGGATTCATCGTGTTAATATGGGCTCTATGTAATTATTTTCAATTTCAACAATTATACGCATCTAGGCATGCGTTTGTTGATAATGGTGCACTTTCTTTTTTGGTAGCTTCATTGGTGGGTGCTACCATCTTTTTGTTGTTAGCTATTAATATCTTGCAAGATGGGGAACAAGAGGATAAAATGGGGGATGGTACTAAAATATCTACCATAAGTTTTATTTAGATAAATTTTTTCACGGGGGGATAGATAGCTGGTAAAAAAAAAAAAAAAAAATTATTTTTATTAAATAATTTAGCATATGTATAAAAAACCACAACAAATTGTACCTAATTTAAAAATTAAAAATTCATTTGCGATTTACATGCATGATTACCTTATACAGAAACTTTTGTGGCTGTAAAGATTTCATTTAGGGCTTTATCATTAAACTGAAATAAGGAAAACCAAAAAAGGGATCCTGTTGTCTTGATTTGATTAACTAATCGTGTGTAAAATCGACTCAAAAAGCTCGTTCGTCCCCGAGACGAATCCAATAACTACTAGGTTGCTGATTTATGATCATTGGTTATTAAGTTTCAAAATGAAGGTCATAGGGTTCTTTGTTATAAAAAATAGGTTGTCTTAATCAAAATTAAATAAAAGCAAAACATTGGGCGTTTCGGGAATTTTCGGTGTTTTTCCGAAAAAAAATTTACGCATATTTTAAAAAAAACGCACGTGAAAATTTTCTAATCTAATCGAGATATTTTAAATTTCATAGGTCTTATAAGAACAGAATGAAATTAATTTGTTTAAATAAATTTAATAATTAAAATATTTTATAAAAAAATTGATACTTATACAAATATATAGAAATAAAACTTATCGTTTATTAATTATATTAACTTTTAATTATAATTTAAATATAAAAGTTGTTTTTTTATAAAAAAAAATTTATATTAATTAGTATTAATTTAGAATGAATTTTTAAAATTTTTATTTATTTATTAAAAAAAAAAATTTGTAAAGTATCTAAAATTATAATTTATTATTAATATTAAAATATTAAAATACTATTTATTAAGATCTCAATAAATTGTTTCTAATTTTATAATATAAAGGATTAATTATTTTTTATATATCTTCAATATTAGAATATAATATATTTTAATTCATAATCTAGAATAAAAACTAATGTATATATTTTTTTTATTATACAAATTTATTATATAAATAATCTTTAATAATAATGCATATCCTTTAAAATTTTAATATAATTTATTATATTCCTTTATATTTATAACTATTTTAATGTTTTTAAAAAAAAATTTCTAAGAAAAAAAAAGGTCATTTATTTTGGTAAGCCAAAAAGTATTTATAGTTTAACAAAGTATATATTAAACGTAAATATTTAAAGTATTAATAATTGTATTAATATTAGATAATAATTTTAAATTATACAAATCATATTTAATTAATTATAATTAATTTAAAATAAAATTTATTTATATAATAAAATAAAAAAAAGAAATTTTGATTAATCAGCTTAAAAATAATATAAACATTTATTATTTAGTGTAATTTTAGAAAATATTTTTTTTTATAATATTTTAATTAAATTATGAACATTTGTTTAATTTACTGTATATACTTGATAATATGAATATTTTGTAATAAAAGTTCTTAAAAAAAATTTATGAATTATCTACAAAAAGTCTAACTAAATACTAACAAAGGCTTAAATTAAACTAAATAAAAATAGCACACAATGCTCTGTAACTAATAGAACATAATCGAACAATTTAATTATAATATTATATTTAAACTTATTTTACTAAAAAAATATGAAATATATTTTTTATTATAAATATTCATATATAGTAAAACACATTTCTATTAGAATTATCGTGAAATATATATATAAAAAGAATATGTAGAGTATGTATTTAAAAAAGAAATTTGTATGATCTTTATATATTTAAAGCTAAGCAAAATATATATTTATAGAAAAAAAATATATATATATATTTAGAAGGATATATTTAGAAATATTTTATTATATCTATAAATAAAAAATAAAAAAAAATAAAAAATTAACTAACATTTTTAAAAACTAAAAATATCATTTAAATCTTATAAATCTACAAAAAATATTTAATAATTTTATTAAAATTATAAAATAATTAATAAATATTTTATCATAAATATTAGCAATATTGTTTCTTATCATAAAATTTATAATAACAATTTTTTATTTTATAATTACTAAAGATGGGAACTGTAATTAATATATTGCAACTTTTAATATTGTAACTTACGTTGCAATTAGTTTTAACCTATATATGTTGCAACTTATAATGTTGAAACATATGTTGCAACTAATTTTAGCTTATGTTGCAACATTTTGTAAATTTGAAATCAATTGCTGTACCATCTTTAAT